TGAATACCTTTGCGATCCGATTCTAGTGCGGACCCAAAAAAGGGTCCTGCACGTTTTTTGGTGTGGGGTGCGGTGCGAAAAGAGCCATACAAAATGTATGGCTCCAATCACGCAGCACACAAATTGCATGTGATTTGCACAGGAATGCGGTGCAGTTCCTGTGCGAATCACATGTGATACACTACACTGCACATATGTGAACCCAGGCTGAAGAAGGTGCCAATAATTTTGTCGAGTCCATATTTAGAGTTTTGCGCGGAATGTGTCAGATTTGGCTTTTTGTTTCTCCACCTCAACAGCAGAGGAAGAGATGGTACTAACACAGTTAGGAAGACCTTCAGTCAACAACTTAAGAGGCAGTGACATAGGATGTCCTTTTTAATTTTGAAAAGGGGCCCCGGTAGCAAAGCCAAGAAGGCCACCTGAACAGAGGTCAGGATGTTGGAGTAGAGATTAATATAAGCTGTAGGGTTTTGGGTTTTTTTTTTTTTTTTTGAAATTGTTAGTATCACAACTGTGGAAAGCCTGTTTTTATTCTCTAAAGCAGTCAGAACTGTATTCTTTGGCTGTTGATAACATCACTGGGTGTTCATTTGATGGTGCCACAAATGTAAGTAGAATTATAAATTTATGCCCACCCAAAGCTATGTCATGCAGTTCTGTATACACATGGGGCTATGCTCACATTGTAAAATTTTGGCAATTTATGATGTCCCACAGTGTTTTATGTTAGTGAAGTCATTCTACTTTTATAATGCTAGTACTGTTTCAGAATATCTGCAAAACAGATTATAGACTATATTTTACATGCATTTATCATAGGGAAATTGACAGATTCTAATGTTTAGTAGTTCCTTATATGATAAAAGCCTGAAGTATATGTAGTACTATCCCTGTAAGAGCCGATGGTAGTTTGGGCCTATATTCCCTGTTCACAGCACACACAACCAGGCACACAGTATTTTCAGAATTTTTCCATTGGCTCAATAATCGACTGAGGGTTTTGGTTTTGTGTTTCTACTGGAGAACTTGGATGGGGATGGGAAGCATGGGATACTCCAAACTGCAGAAACTGTAGAACTTTGAGGACTGCTAGGTTTCTGGCTGCTCTGTACAAGTTGCAAGCTGTATTGCACAACCTATGCTACAAAGTACTTTACCCTGGGTAGTAGTAGTGCAACTCTTAACTGTCTTGTCTGGCTGCACCCGGTCCTGACTTGTAGTGTGAATCACCCAACAGTCACTTCTCCAATGAGTAGCTGGATCAAGTTCTCACTCGGTTCCTGAAAATGGAACTTCCTCACTCCTGATCTCCTGACTCTTTATCCAGATGCTGACTCTCTCTCCTTCTGGTAGTCCTAACTGGGACATTAATGGCTGCAATGGACTCCTGAGGTTTCTCTCCTTCTCCTTTCTCTGCCCCAGGGGCAGAGCCCTCAGCACGCGGGTCTCCTCCAGATAGCTGGGCACTGGACTCCGCTCCCTAGCTGGCAGGCCTCTGGATATTTTTGAACTCCCCAATCACCTACTGGACCACTCTTTGCAGGGATTGGCTAGGGATCCATGAATAACAGCAGCCTATGGGAAACTGAACAGCCCAGTACAATCAACATCTCTGCTCCTCAGCCTTCAGAGCAGACAACTACATTTACCTAGCAACCTACTAAACTAGGAGAGAACTGCATATATACAGTAAAAAACATACTTTATTAAAATGTCATGTAAGTAAGATCCAGAAATCCTACAGAGCTGAGTGCACTGTACTACGCCCACAATCCATCTCGTCCAATCAGTGTAGTGATGTCAATCAGTGAAGGCTTTGCATTCATTCAGAAAATGCAAAGCATTCTCTGAATTGTGCCCGTGCTGAGCAGCCAGTCTCATTTGTTCTTCTGGCCAGCTGATCAGCATGGGACCCGAAAGCAAGTGGAGATCACGGAAATACAAACAAAGAAGAAGAGCGAACACTAAGTGCTGTAGAACTTTAAGTTTTGCAACAGGGGTGTCCAAACTTTTGACCTTCTTGGGCCACATTGGAAGAAGAGGATTTGTCTTGGGCCACACACAAAATACACTACACTAACAATAACCCCTGGTTCACATTTGTGCAGCTCTGTGAGCCACGTTTTGCTTGGACATAGAAGCCCATACATTTGAATGGGCTGCCATACCTCCTGAAAATGCAGGGAAAAGGTCCCTGCTCCATTTTTTAAATCACAGCCTACATGGCATCTGCAAGTGCGGTGCCCAGTGCGGGAAGCAGCTGCTGCGATTTACAGTGCTTGCAGGTACCATTAGGATTAATGGCACCCACGCTCATCTGTGTTTTTCTGTGCGGGTGGTTGAAGCTGTGGGAACAGGTAAAGACCTGCTGTGGGAAGCACCCACAGAAGGGTGAACCAAGCCTATGGGCAAACAAGTGCCTAATCTGCAGCCACAGCACTGTCACAACAACTCTGTGTATATGCTCATTAAAATCTTCTTTTATTCAAGCATTCCATAGAAAAACACAGCCATAGATACAGAGATGTTAGAGTAGATGTACATAAATAGAGTTGCAGATCCTCTGTTTTGGCAACTGTAATCGGGGAGGGGGGGGGGGTAGTGTTGCCACCCACACAAGTGAAATTTATGGACGGGACACCCGACATTTACAAACGGCACCAATTTTTTTACTGACAAAAAAATGAAATTTGCTGACAGCCAAATTTTTACAGGCATTTCAAAGAAGTACATAAAATGGCTTTTTTTTAAGTGCAAAACAGTGCAAATATCAATATTTAAGTTACACGCATATAGCTAGTGTGATTAGCAGTGTGTTTAAGTTATCACAAATGTCAAAAACCATATTTCTCCATTTACATGAAGGTTAGGTTAATGTAACCCAGCACAGAGTCCCCCCTTACATCAGAGTCTGCAGGATTCCCTCTTACAGTGCATGGGGAGTTCCCCCTTGCACTGTAAGGGGAAATCCTGCAAACTCTGCTGTAAAGGGGAACTCTGAGGACACTGATTTAAGGGAGAACACCCCCTTGCCTTACTGGGCTCCAGCTTGGCGGCTCTGGTTTCATTCTATCTTCTCCTCTGCACAGACCACACACATATGATTCCTCGCATGACCCCCGTCTCAGCTGTGCTCCCGCTCTTGACTCCTCTCCAGTCTCCCCCCTAAGAGACTGCAGACATAATACAAGAAAAGCTACAATTTCTGGGGAAATTGTGTGAAGTGTTCTTGCCTCCACCAGTAGTCTACAATGTCAATGGGCGTTGTGTGTTGCAAACAAACGGTCATATTGTGAAAACTAACAGAACTATGGCTTAGCCGTGGACATTTCTAGTGGCAGCAAGGATAGCTGAATGTTTCGATATAAGATTTGTGTAGGTGGCCTTGAAAATGAGGGAGTGATGGCAGTTTAGAAATCATGTCCTGATTTTTCAGCTCACACTCTAGCTTTTGTCAGCTCCCACTCTAGTTTTGAACATTCCGCCATTCATTCCTATGGGACCAATTTCACCACAAAAACGCTGATATTTCGTGAACCATTCTGTGAAACATAAATAAAAGAAATGCAGCGCTCTTAAAAATTAATGAATATAGTGATAAACACAGTCCGGTGAGAACAGTGCTCCTTGATTCCCAGTGCAAATGGTAGAAATTCACACTAACCAGAACGCGCATGGGTAATACACATGTGTATATATATATCCTGAAGATCCCCTCTCCTCTCAGGTCTGGTCAGGGAAATAGCTGGGAAAGATGGAGATCCTACGCCCTCATGTGGTAAGAAAGTGGTCCAGCAGGTCAGAGCAGTATCAATCTGGATAAGCCTCCAAAGGAGCTGACACAGGGATCACCAGGGCTGCAAGGATGGAAGAAGCTCCTCACAGGAGACATAGGGAAGCACTCATAGTGTAGTAGGTAAAACTTTTATTCCAGAAAACACAGGTGCATAATGAGTATCACATAGCCAAGTATGAACAAACACACTGACCCTTTAAGAAGTCAAGATGGCCGCCGGGCCTCCTCATGGCACCGACGGCTTAGTATCAACGGCGTCCCGGGTTCCGCCTGACGCGTTTCGTGCGCACGCACTTCTTCAGAGGTGGAACATGTTGTTATCCATTCTGTGAAACGTTCCACAAAGTAATAGCACACCAATAGGGAACAATCAGCACATTTCGGTATATTACTGTCTATGTAGTGTAAAAACTGTGGGAGGAGTTAGGGTGGTAAATTTGGCTATAATAATAAGAATTTATATGTGAGATAACAGTAAGTGGTCTTGCCATGCAAGAACACTTAACAAGAAAAGAGATGGTCAGAGATTGTGGACATGATACAGGAGGTGGTTAGAGATTTTGGACAACTGGACATGATACAAGAGATGGTTAGAGACTGCGGATATGATACAGAAGTTGGTTAGAGGCTGCAGACAGGATACAGGAGATGGTTAGAGGCTGCAGACAGGATACAGGAAATGGTTAGAGGCTGCAGACAGGATACAGGAGATGGTTATAGGCTGCAGACAGTATACAGGCAATGGTTAGAGGCTGCAGACAGGATACAGGCATGGTTAGAGGCTACAGACAGGATACGGGCGGTGGTTAGAGGCTATGGGCAGGATACAAGAGGTGGTTAGAGGCTGTGGGTAGGATACAGGAGAGGGTTAGAGGCTGTGGGCAGGATACAGGAGATGGTTAGAGGCTGCAGGCAGGATACAGAAGATGGTTAGAGACTGTGGACAATGGAGGCAGGTGGATGGACGAGAGGGGGGTATGGAGCCAGGTGGAGGTGTTTGATTGAGGTGAGGGGGGATGGAGCCAGTTGAATGGAGAAGGGGGGACAGAGCCAGGTGGACAGAAGAGAGAGGGGGATAGAGCCAGGTGGAGGGGAGGACAGCCTATTCTCAGCTTCAGGGGTGTATTTACCACAAGGCAAACAAAGCATTGTCTAGGCGGCATTTTTCAAGGGGGCAGCAGCATTTTTCAGGTGGGCAGCACTGCCCCCCTAAAGACGGGATGGAAGAAGGGACACACGCAGCATGGGGACCAGGTGGGATCTGAGAGAGGTTGCAGGCTGCTTGATGGTGTATGCAGAGCCTGACTCTTGTTTCCAGGGATGTCTGGAGCTGTGAAGGTGAGTGTCTTATCTCTTGCCAGGGTGGGGTGGGGAGGAAGGTTGCCAGTGTATGGGGGGCTCGGGTGTTGTTGGTCAATGTCAGGCTCTCTTTGTGGGGGAGGGAGGTGTTGGTCGGTGTAAGGGTCTCTCCATGGGGGGGGCAAATTTTGTGTTGCCTAGGGCAGCACAAAACCTAAATACATCACTGCTCAGCTTTACTCAACAACAGATGGATCCCAGCTACAGACCCTTTTGATCTCCCTTCAGGAATATAACAGATCCCTTCAAAAATGTCTTGATGGCACAGAGCACAGAAGGCTGGAAGTGTTGATGCAGATATGTCATCCTGTGCCTGTTAGCCAGCTGTGCTGCACATACCTATGATTCTTGCACTGGTGGCGGTGTTACAATCAAGAGCTGTGAAGGAGTAGAGGTGCATGCCAATGGCAGCAGCATTGCCCATTCCCAGGCATGATGATCCACTGAGAATATCCATGGTGCTGCACTCGCTCGCTTCATTTCCCAGTTTCCCCAGCCCCACTGTAACTTTGTAAACCGCGCCAAACAACACCATTAGGTTGGCCAGCCAAGAAGCTGGGGAACTGGGCATGCGCAGTTTTGAAGCCGACCCACTGACTTATTTTTTACAGGTGACCGCTGTTCGCAATGGACATTTATGTACAGTCTGTAAATTGCCTGAAATGTACTAACTGTCTATAAATTTATGGACGGCTGGCAACTCTTGGGGGAGGGGGGGTTTGCATGTAGTTCACTAGCTACAATATGCTGTGTGTATGCTGGACAGTGTTCTGGTTTACTTCAGAATTCCACAGCTACCCCATTTTATGTACATTAAAAAATATTTGTTTTGTTTTGTTTATTTGGTTAGCTGGTCAATGTAGTCTGACAGCTACTGTCCTTGTCAGTGTTTTTGCAAACTCCAAGTGGGCTTTCATGTGTTTTGCACTGTAGAGTGGCTTCCGTCTAACCACTCTGCCATAAAGCCCAGATCAGTAGAGGGCTGCAGTGATGGTTGTCCTCCCAAAACATTGTCGCATCTCCACACAAGATCTCTGGAGCTCAGTCAAGAGTGACAATCGGGTTCTTTGTGACCTCTCCTACTAAGGCCCTTATCCCCTGATGGCTCAGTTTGGCCAGGTGAGCTGATTGTTCCAAACTTCTTCCATTTAAGAATTATGGAGGCCACTGTGCTCTTGGGAACCTTCAGTGCAGCAAAAAAATGTTTGTAGCCTTAAGGCCTTTTATAGAGAGGTGTGTGCCTTTCCAAATCATGTCCAATCACTTTAATTTACCACAGATGGACTCAAATCAATGTGTAGAAACATCTCAGCAATGATCAAGAAAAACGGGGGCATCTGAGCTAAATTTCAAGTGTTGTTGCAAAGGGACTGAATACTTATGCCAATGAGATATTTCCATTTTTTCCTTTTCCATACACTTGTAAACTTTTCCAAAATTCTGTTTTCACTTTGTCATTATGGGGTACTTAGTGTAGATTAATGAGAAAAAAAATACAAAACAATAGTATCAGTCTGCAACATAACAAAATTGAAAAAGTGAAGGGGGTCGGAATACTTTATGAATGCACTGTACATCGTTACATTTGTGGATGGTCTTCCAATGATCGTTAAAACGTTTTTTTCTGGAATGATTTCACTCTTCATCTGAAGATGTCCATGAACCACAGAAGCATAATATGAAGTACAGTAGTTTATGAAAAGCAACTTTCCATGCCCCTGTCATGAGCTATCTAGATGAAAATATTACTATAGTTCATCATCAAAATGTGATAGAACAACTTGTGGACATCAGATGATCCCATGAGTCAGAAATTTCAGCCTAATGTGTCAATATTTTAAATGAAACAGGAACCTCTTCTGTTTTCTTGAGAGTAAATGATGACCTTTTAGTTATCTTATTCATGAAGTACTGGTGGGCATTAGAAAATTGTCATTCAAGCATGGCATACCATGTGTTCAGGCAATGATCATGAGACTCATTGGCACATTTAGATTTGATTACACTCCTAGGACTGCTTTCTAGTGATAATCCTATTGGCCAAGTCAATTTCTCAGTAAATCTTTGCTTTTGTTTGTATTGACATAAACTATACGTATGTACATCTATACAATAATCTCATAACAATATAATTGTTAGGATGTGCCTGTAGTTGTTTAAAAGTTGTACATGAGTTGTTCCATGTAAGTGCATTGAACAGATTCATAATATGTTCGCAGCATTCTCTACATTAAATTGACCAGCATTTTATCAGTTTGTATAACCTGCATAATAACATACCAGCGCCTGTCTCATGTGCGTCATCGCATCAAGTAATCCAGTCATAAAAGTGACTTCTGTTTACGTCTGCAGATTTCTAATGCACAGCCAGGTATAAGCTTCTTACATTTCAACCTGTCACTATTTGCCACTTTATGTTAACAGACACTTACAGTAGATTAAACGAAGGAAACTGGGGCTTTTACAAAATATATAAAAAACACAAATAAATGTACCATTAAATCAAGCCTAGCATCCACTATTTGTTCCAATGAATACAGGCATATTTTTTAACTATGTGATGATACTGGTCAGTAGTATTAAGATGTGAATTCTGTCAAAGGTTCTCAAGTGCTTATACAAGCCTGTTGGTCTAGGCAAAAAGTAAACTTCTGTAATGCGGAACAACTAATCAGAATCTGATCTCACTAGAAAAACAAAAATCTGATTAACAGCTGTGAACGGATGCTGATCATGTGACTGGTTATATCAAAGGAGTTCTGTGATTTCACCCACTTTTGTGGTCAAATGTGGCCCTGGAAGATGGAGGGGACAGTAGTTGATAAAAGACTACACTTGGCTAGAGGCTACAGGTGCATGATTAGAGGTGGGATCCTCCCAGAAGAGAGTACATTTTGAATTGTGTTTGATGTACAGTATTTCAGAAGAAAAGAGTGCCAGGGGAATTCAATAGTAGTAACTTCACTCCTCTCTGGTGGTATGGCCCCTTTATTATGAACTACCCCTAAATTATGTAAATGATGAAAGCCTTGCTCAAGTTTTGGTACAGGTACTGTACTACACATACACCAAATTCAGGAAGTTTATACTACTGTCACTTTAACTGTCACCAATTAAAGGTTGATATACAGGAAGAGGGGGAGTGTTCTGTGTTCATTACAGTATTAACTACTTTATTAACCAGTCTGGGAGGTTGTGCACTTCCCAAAAGTGCACCTTGTGTCTGCCCCCCTGGGGCACACATCAGCACAATCCTGTGACCTCTGTGTCTACCGGACATAGCGGATCACCCATCTGAGCATTGAGTGGCCACACCAGTGATATTGTCCCTAATTACCACCACACCAATGTCTCCATATACGGGAGGAGTGTCAGAATGTGTCTGGGGTGTAATTATAAGTATTGCTGTGATGTTTAAATGTATCTTATTTGACAACTATATGTAAAAAAATGTTTTTCATTTTCTTTCATGAATTTCCCAAAATGGCATTTTCAAAAGACTCATTGGGGTTTATTTACTAAAGCTGGAGAGTGCAAAATCAGACTCCCTTCTGCATAGAAACCAATCAGCTTCCAGGTTTCATTGCCAAAGCTTCATTGAACAAGCTGAGGTTAAAAGCTGATTGGTTTCTATGCAGAAGGGAGTCTGATTTTGGACTCTCCAGCTTTAGTAAATAAACCCCATTATGTCTTTCAGAAAATACATTCAACTGTTTGCTTTCCAAAATTGGGTAATTTTTTAGATGTTTCTACTATCCTGTTGTTTCAGGGCCTCCAAAAATATGTTAGGTAATCAGGAAATTACATGTGTAATTTATGCTCCTTGAAAGCCCAAAGGTGCTCCTTGGATTATGGGCCCCTCTTTGCATCTAGGCTGTAAAAAAAAGTCTCATACATTTGGTATCTTCATACTCAGGAGACAAAGCAGAATGTGTTTTGGGGTATAATTATAAGTATGCCTATGATGTGTGTAAGCAATAACTTGTTAAAATTACAACTTTGTACAAAAGGGTCTTCATTTGAAGTCTATTTTCCAAAAAAGGAGTCATTTGGGGGGTATTTGTACAGTCCTGGCCTTGTGACATGAGATAGGCAGTCAGTACATCAGTACTGATCAATTTTCAAATATACAGTATATAACAGTTTGTAAACTCTATAACTTTCACACAGACTAAATATATATTGATTTGGTTATTTTTTTTTTACCAAAGAAACGTGGCAGAATACATTTTGGCCTACATTTTTAAAGATATAAAATTTAGCAAGTAAATAATCTAACAGAAAGTAAGAAAATTTTTTTTTTCAAAAATGTTGGTATTTTTTAAATTTATGTAGAAAAAATAAAAAAACCCAGTGGTGATTAAAATTATAATAATATAAAATTATAAAAGCTTAAATTTGGGTACAGTGTTGCATGACTGAGTAATTGTCATTCAAAATACAAGAGCGCTGAAAATTGGTCTGAGCAGGAAGGGATGAAAGTGTCAGGTATTGAAGTGATTAATATATTTGTATTTTACATTTACAGGATTGGTTGCTAAGATGAAGGCAGTTCTCATTCTAGCAGCCAATAAGGCAAATCACATTGAACTGACAGTGGGCGAAGCCTGATGGGGTACTGTGAGAGACTAGTTCTCCATCAGGTCTGCTTTACTGTGATTGACAGAAGATGGCAGTGGGGTTATCCATAGTCATTATTCAGCCTAATAGCAGCTTTAAAACCTGCTCACTGCCATGTGCGTGGGTGTACTGTGGGGGGGGGGGGGCAGTATTGAGGGGTCTGTGCTGAGTGAGGGGGCTATACTAAGGGGTCTGTATTCAGAGGGGTGTCAGTACTGAGGGGTCTGTGATGAATGGTGGGTCTTTACTGGGGGGGGTCGTTGTTGGGGGGTTTTGATCTGTACTGGGGGGTCTGTGCTGGGGGGGAGGGGGCAATCTGTGCTGAGAGGGCTTTGCTGGGGGAGTCTGTACTGAGAGGTCTGTGCCAAGGGGTTTATGCAGTGGGGGTCTTTACTGAGGGGATGGTCTGATCTGGGAGGAAGGCTTCAGGGATTGATAGGGTAGATCTGTACTGTGGGGATTATGTGCTTGGGGGGGGGGGGAGTAATTGAACTGGGTAAAGGGGGCATTTTGAAT